GTAGGTTTAAACTGCAGTGTTTACTACTACTACATGCTGGTATATAAATGAAGTGTAGGTTTAAACTGCAGTGTTTACTACTACTACATGCTGGTATATAAATGAAGTGTAGGTTTAAACTGCAGTGTTTACTACTACTACATGCTGGTATATAAATGAAGTGTAGGTTTAAACTGCAGACCAGCATGTAGTAGTAGTAAACAACACTTCATTTATATAGGTTTAAACTGCAGTGTTTACTACTACTACATGCTGGTATATAAATGAAGTGTAGGTTTAAATAACTTGGAGTGTAGAATACAGCAAAACTATTTTCAGTGAAAATTTTGCAGGGCTCATACAAATAATTTTTACATTTACTGTTTTTGAAATGGTTTAAAAGAGATATTCCCATAAAACTTTAGAAGAGCATTAAAGTGTTTATGTGTATAGGATATCTGGAAACACGGCCAAGGACACAAACATCCATGGAACAGTCAGTGAACAGTTAAAGAAGAACTTTGCTAAAACAAAATGGAGGGTACGTATATTCCTCTTTTATAAATGTTAAGTTATTGAAATAACATCAGATATTAATGATTTCTTACACTTAATTTGGTATATACATGAATCGTGAATAATTCAGTTCTCCTTGACATTCGGGGGAGAATTGCGAATTATTTCTAAAACTTATATTAAATTACATTTTGAAAATTTTCCTTAAGTAAAGAAAACTGTTAAAATACATTGAACTTCTTGCAAGTTGACAGAGAAAAATTTAACATAATATTTTGTTTTTATTAATATTTTTCCAAGTTGACCCAGAAATATTAAACATGGTAAATGCTAATTTTTGTTTTTTATTCCTATCAAAGATAATGTTACAGTGTTATCCTTTATTAAAAGCATTCATTTTGATGTTACTCCTCTCCCTCCCCCCCAAACTTGCTTCTTTTCTCAATGATTTTAATCCAGTCAGTGTTATTTCAAGACTCGGTAATTAAGGTTTTTTATGTATTTTTACACTGGATTGAAAACTAAACAAAAATCTTAAGTAAAGCATTTCAGATAAACTTGTTATATATGTCATCAGTGAAATGTGTGTTGTACTGGAAAGGTTTTGGGTAGGATGGACAACATAGCAGTGGCCCCCAGTGATACAGCGGTATGTCTGTGGACTTACAATGCTAGAAACCGGGTTTCGATAACCGTGGTGGGCAGAGCACAGATAGCCCATTGTATAACTTTGTGCTTAATTACAAACAAACATAGCAGTGAAAGACTGCAGAGAAGCCGTTACATTTTTGTTTAGTTTTTTTTAGAAAATGTGCAATTACAGAAAGTCCAAAATTATTCCAGATATATTGGAGGAGGAGGACTAAATGTAACGGTTGAAATTTGCTGAGGGAAAAAATAAAACGAGGCTTACATCACTTGTAAAAAGTGAATAATCTCAAAAGTGATGAAAAACGTATATTCTTATACTTCAGAATTTATGTCAGATTGTCCTGCAAGAAAAAAGTTTATTGTATTTGTTCAAAACAAAAAAATTTAATTTTTGTTTTTTTCAAAGATGTAGAATTTTGTAAATAGAGAAATAAGTTCTTTCAAATTTTTTTTAAATCTATATTTATATTATTCTCTAATTATTTTTTCTTGTTACAATAGCAAGCATACAATGCAACGGCTGTCATCCGACAAATGAGAAAATTAGCTATGAACAGCACAGGAAGCTCAAATGAAACAGCAAACTACCAGGCTGGCAGTAAAGATGAAAACATTTCAAGCACAACGTCTGCAGAGGCCACTCCCAAGGGGACGGCAGAGAAGAATTAGAATGAATTACAAAATGCATCAGTTGGTAGCATCATGCTATCTACTGTTTATTTGGGTGATTTTGTCCCCTGTTGGGGTGCTCATTTTCACATGTATTTATAATTGTTAGTTACAGTTAGGTTCTTATGTCTGATAGCTGAAACCTGTAAAACAACCAGAAGAAGGTTTACAATGGTGGTAATAAGGCAGGAATACATCCTTTATATTTTATTCTTTCTCCACATTTGTGCTGTGGCTATGTATTTAAATGTGTATTTTTATATTGGTAAAAAAGGGAAGCCTTTCCCATTTCTGCATGTTGGTAGTTGGGATGTGTATATATTAATCAGACACATGTACAGTTATATTACACATATGTAAGAATCAATAATTGTTTTCTATGCAGGGAGTACAATCAGTTGATGGGTTCACATTTGAAAGACTACCTGGATTGGTAACTTAGGTGTGATGTGTGGTAATTGATTCTGTATCTCATACAAGACAATTGTTGTTATATGTGTTCATTTATTGTTGATGTTGTTTCTTTTATACAGCTGTGTTTAGTCTGAAAGTTGTGGGATGTGGTTAGTTACAATGAATGCACATTGTTTCATTCTGGCATTCGTAACGTAACTATAATTCTATTTTGATGGTTGTTAATGATAATTTTTTTTATATTTCTTGTTTGGTTTTATGTACAACAAACTGTGTCTTTATATTAGGGTGAGGATATATTTTTACTTATACTTTCTGCATTCCTAGGTTCTTTGTTGAATTCTTTTTTTTAGACATTTTTTCAAATTCTTTATTTTTATGAAATGTGTATTTTGAGGAAAAGACTTGAATGAAGTGGCATATCTTGTTGACATGTTGATTATTAGAAGTATAACTGGATGGTTTAACTTTTTAAGTGAAAGAAAATCAAAATCTAAGTTTATTTGTTATATAAATAGAATACTTCTCTCTCTCTCTATATATATATATATATATATATATGTGTGTGTGTGTAAGACAGATTAAAACATGGGTGATGTGTGTTAATCGTATATTTAAAATGGTCACAAGAACACGTATTTCTTGCTTGACTTCATGTATTTGAATCCTACATCTTGAAAACAGCTTTGATACACAAAGATGTAAGTTTGTTTCTTTATGGCCAGTTTGAAAAAGGTGTTTGATTTAGCCACATTAAGGCTCCTAAAGGTTAACAAAATGGTGGTAATTTTCCATTTGAATTTCATAGAAAAGTATAAATAAATGTATTCATTGACTGTAACAAGAATCTTTTACATTCAAAACCACAAATAAGTAATGGAATCGACTGACTTGTAATCTTGATTTGCTAACAGCTTTACCCTTGTACTTAGTCTTTTCTTTGCATCTCCACAGACTGAAATTATAAATTTATTTTTTGTTCTTGTTTCCTTTAATTATCTCAAACAAATACAGATAGTGATACGACCAATGTAAAATTAGTATAGAGTGTTTAACATTATAGCTAGCTGAAAGTTCATGGGGTTTTATTATACTCAATTGAAGTATGTAAACAGAAAAAATACCAACTGTTAAAATTCTTTCCAATTTGGGAACCGACCATGCTAGCAGTGTTTTAATATTTACCTAGATTTTAAGCATGTTTATTAACTGTTTAGACTAAGTTTGTATTACAAGTTGTCTGGTTTAACAACTATGGATTGTAAATATAACCTACAACAGTACACATTTTTAAAAAAATGAAACGTGTTGTTTATCTTCAAATCATTCTTATAATGATATGTGACATCCCGACGTGGATAGTGTTTTTACATCTTCGATGGGAACCTTTAACTGTACCAATGTAACAAAAAACAACCCTTATCTGTTCATGTATGATGAAGATTTTTTTTCTATAATGTCGGACTTTTGTGGAACTTTGAAAATATGAAATATTTAGCTTAAATATCGTAAGTTTTTATTAAAAATATGTTTAATGTTAAGTGCTTTCTCTCGAAAACTGTTTTTGTTTTAATATTCTTTTAGTGTTAATATTTTTCTTTTTCTACTAAGAATAACAGTAAAAATTATTATGTAATAGTAGCATGTGCTGGGCCATGGAGATTCAAGTTCCATGATTGGGGTCCCATTAGTGCCAAAAAAAATGGGTTCTCAACATAGGCACTGTGGATGAGTTATAAGAGTGATGGTAAAATCCCACTATTCAGTTGTCCAAGAGTAGTTCTAGAGTTGGTGATGACTAGCTGCATTCCCTCTAGCCCATTAGTTACAAATTTGGGACAGCTAGTGCTTGAGTAGGTGTGCATGAAATCCAACCAACAAACAAAGTAGTAGTAATAATATAATTATTGGACTGAATCTCTGATCGGATTCAAAGAGAGCCTAACCAAGAGTGGCTATACGGTAGGTGCAACTTGTATTACGTCAATAACATGTAGTATCACCCCTAGTGTACTAAGGTTTATTTGAATTGGTCATTTTACAAATTTAACTTCTGTTTACTGGTGGTACACGATGCACACTTGTGTTTAACAACTGAATCTGATCCATTCACAAAAACATAAGTCTCTTTTGTCAAGATGGGTACAGTAAAACCAGCACTTATTTGTTTGGTGTCCCTACCTGTAATATTTTTAGTTATTTCAGTAGCAGAGTGTCCTAAAACAGTATTTATTTACTCTGGCTATGCACTGTTGCATGTGTGATGGTAACAATAGTGGAATGTTGCCTTGATGATTCACTAGTGTAACCACGAGTTAAATAATGGAAGAAGTGAGATGTGACTGGAGTAAGAATCATCAGTGATACCAGGATTAAGACTGAAAAGAGCCTGTAATATTTTTACCACAATAGTAGTGGCAGTTGGCTTAATTTTATAGCTGGTAATGGCATTACCAGAGTAATACCAATAGTCATACTCAAATTTGATTATGATAGGAACCCAATCACATTATTAGTGTTATGTATTAAGAACTTAATATTGAGATGTATAATCCACACTACATAATAAATCCTTGAAAATAAAACAGTACAAGTTGCTGTTGTCTTGTGGTACAGATCAATAATTATCAGTTTGTCATTCTTCTATCCCATGTTAGTAAATCTGGTGTTGCTATTTTGAGAACATGGTAACACCAGGGTTTCCACTGTTTCACTGGCTTCTACACTGGAAATGTTGAAATGTTAGTTCAATTAAATAATGTTGCATTTAAGGTTAAAACAGTCTTTCTTTTTGAAATCTCGTACTTTTTTGTTTTTAATAGTTTTTGTTGTTCAGTTTAAGAATAATTCCTTCTCCCTCAAGTTGGTAATTCTAGAGAAAATGTGCAGTATGATGTCTGGTGTATAGTATTTGAGATTTAGTTAATTACTGAGACAATTATGTGGCTTGTCAGATTCACTACCTTTACAGAACTATTCATATTTTCACAGTGTGTTTTACGTTATTATGAGAAACTAAACGTTTTAGATCAATAGTACTTTTAGTTCAAATTATTTTTAACTTATTCGTATGAATACCGACAAAACTACATAAAACTATACAGAACAGATTCTTAAGTTAGTAATATAAAAATTGTATAACAACAGAATGTGGTATCACCATAAGCCACGTCTTTGGTGCACTTAGGAATAGTTGAAAACTTCATATTGGCTTTCAAGTTAGGCTACGTTGTGAGAGATGTAGACCGACAAATTAAGATTAAAATGTATCGGGTGGGAACAAGTTCTATGCTAATGTGTTATAAAATATTAGGCTTCAAATTCATTACTGGTGGTACAGTTGTTAATAGTTTATTTTGTGTATACTGTTCATATTTTAACATCATATAAAATATAACTAGATTTTCCTTTATTGAAATCTTGAGGTGAGGAGTTAATGGGGGGGTAAATAGTATGAAAAGTAAAGAACCGTTTGCTGGAATTAACAGTAAAGGATGTAAGGGACTATTTTGTTAAAAACCAGAACTTTGAGGTAACAATGGAATGCAGAGTTGCCGGATCCATCTTATTTCTTCTTCTTAATGTAGATGATAGGCAACTGTTATTAATAAAAGTTGCTTTAGCATTTTAATTAAAAATGTGCTTATTTTGAAAATGTTGATCTTAAAGTAGAGATTATTACTGTTGTTATAGTCTTATTGTATTGCACTGGCCATAGATACATTATAGATTACAAAGCTACTTTTCAGCCATCAATGTCGTGTAATATTTGAAGGTGGTTTGTGTGTAAGTAAGGTATTGGTTGTTTGTTTTTTGTTGCCGTATTTTCAATAAATTGCAACCTTGCACTCATTCAACTTGACTTACTTCAAGTGACCAACATGTTCCTCTTTTATTTTATTTTTCCTCTGGATTTTCAGTAACTCATTAAGTTTTGTACTCAAATCTTCCACTTTTTCTTTATTTCAGAAAAAAAAAACATTAATTCATGCTTGCCTTGTTAACTTGAGTGTTTTACTTTATGTTCAAATAGAAACTACTTAAAATTTCCAGGATAAAAGATCTTGACTTTTAGTACTTCTAGAGTAAGCTAATATAAATTGAGCTTGACAAATGAAGAACAATAGAAAGCACACTGTCTAAAATGATCAAGTTTCCAAAAATACGTACAAAGACGGAGAGAGAGAGTACTTATTGTATCCTGGAGATGTTATTTAGTTATCTGTTTTTGGTTGAAACTGTGTATCTTGGACAGATGTAAAATTTACTCTTGGTGAATTGTGCATGTATTGTGCTATTCTTTTACAATAACGATTCATTGAATAGTTCACTTGTCCAGCAAAAGCAGCCTATTAAAGAAAATGAGATCGAAATTTAGTTGAGTTTGTGTATTTTAAGTTGTTAATGAAATGTAGTGAAAATAATCATTGGAAGTGTTATACAAAATGTAGCAGATTTGGTCATACAGCTGTCAGATAAGCTTCAAAGCATCTCACCTAACTCAAAGACTGCAAGTCATAGCATTGTCTAAGGAATTACCAAGTTTTTCACTCAACTCAACCAGCTCGTTCACCAAAACAGCTTAATATGGACAATAAATGAAAATATTCATGGTTTCCAGCAACAGTAAAAGACAACAGAAAACCAAGCTTTTTTAACAGAAAAGTGTAACATGTACAATAAATGGAAATATTCATGGTTTCCAACAACAGAAAACCAAGCTTTTTTAACAGAAAAGTGTAACATGTACAATAAATGGAAATATTCATGGTTTCCAGCAATAGTAAAAGACAACAGAAAACCAAGCTTTTTTTTAACAGAAAAGTGTAACATGTACAATAAATGAAAATATTCATGGTTTCCAGCAACAGTAAAAGACAACAGAAAACCAAGTTCTGTTGTCTTTCACTGTTGCTGGAAACCATGAATATTTTCATTTTATTGTACATGTTACACTTTTCTGTTAAAAAAGTACCAAGCTTTTTTAACAGAAAAGTGTAACATGTACAATAAAATGAAAATATTCATGGTTTCCAGCAACAGTAAAAGACGACAGAATACCAATCTTTTTTAACAGAAAAGTGTAACATGTACAATAAATAAAAATATGTTTTACCTTCAGATGATTAAATCAAAATGTATTATAAAAGAAAACACATATCTAATGTTTACATTTCAACAGAAGATGCTAGAAACTGGTATGAAGTATCTACTCTGTTCATTATCTTGTATCCCATTTTTAGCTATTTTATTTTCTATTTGTTTCCAAACTTTATGTGTTAACTACAGAATTTCAAATATTCTAGTATTTGAATATTGTCTCTTAAAGATTTTCTGTTGATGATGGGGTGACTGTGAATCCAAGTGTTCATGGTCTGATGCCAAAAATAGGTGCTCCATACCTTGGAGCTGTGGGTGTCCTACAAGAGTGACAGTCAAATCTTACTTATTCAGTCAGACAAAAGTAGCCTAAAAGTTGGTAGTGAGCACTTGAATAGTTGCCTTCTCTCTAGTCTATCAATTCAAAATTAGGGACAGGTAGACAAATGGTTATAGTGTAGCTTTGCAGGAATATTGAGAAATAATTTTACTTGCATGCGTATTTTTAAGTGGTCTATAAATATGTATTAACTATTAAATTGAGGGCTCGACAGAAAAGGATTTGCAAAATTCCCTTTAGGAATTTATCAAAGAAGTCTGGTATTCAATTCCACTTCATAAGAACACCAGGGATGTAAAATCAACATCTGAACACAACAATAATAATTCTTTGAAAAGGACTGAAGCTTTGTCCATGAGTGCTTCTTTTTTTTTCTTACATTGAAATTTGGTACCACAAACTACTGATAAACTACAGCAGTTTCTTAGCAATGAATTTAGTAGCAAGACATGTATGTTATGATGTAATAGTATCATATACTTAAGAAAATTTAATCAAAGGTAAATAGTTTACACCAATAAAGGCATGACAGTAGTATATAAAGTGACTAAGAAGGCACTGCACCTTGTACCACTAACACATGAATGAAAACAGTAACCTTGATCTGACTGCTTCCCAGCCTTTGATTATACCCTGTTCAAGAAACTAGGGGCTTAAACAGTGTCTTCCCAAAACAGACACCTCAAGAATGTGATAAAAGTTAAAGTGAAATGGAAGCCAACCTGTGTAAAGGAAGTCAAATATTTTATTGCACTAATATGTGGACTGATCTAGAAAATTCAACACATCATTAAAAATGAAAATGCGAAGAAACGTACTTGAAAACAGCAAAGAAACTAAGACATTCTTAATGAGAGAATTCCATCACAAGAACCTATTAAATTTTCATCTGAACTAATGTATTGAAGCATGAAAAATAGACATGAATATATGATGTTGGAGAGAGAGTTAAACTGGAAGATGGTGACATTGAATCAACATGAGCTCATCTAAAGGTTAGATCTTATGAAGAAGGTACTTATGGTAAGCAGCATCAAGAAGATAAAAGTGTATAGAAACATCAAGTGCATATTCAAGCTATAATAAATTAGTGGCATCCTCCCATAGCTGAACACTAAAGGACTGGAATTGAGGGGAGGTACACAAAAAATTGGCTGCCACTTTTAAACCATGTAGTACCACCACAAGGCACATATATACAGTTGTGTAGATAATCAAAGAGAGTAGCTAAACTGGGAGGTACTCATCAAATCTCCATTTGAGCCACTAGCTTAATGTTGCCATTCACAAACCTTTATGAATAGAGAAGATATCCATGAGTTGAAGTCACAGCAGTATCTATCTTGTAACCTGCTGTGATAACCTGGAAAGATCTGATAAAGGTGACCAGAAAGCTCAACAGGCCAAGAATTTCAAGTGATTTATTCTATGAGGGTGTTAAAGAGTTTTGGCTATAAAGGTAGTTTTTACTGCTTTAAACCCCTAGTAAAACTATTGTAGGCCTTTGGGGGTCTTGTAAAAGGCTTTATTGGCCTGATGTCAATGAAAATATTCCAAGTTTTTTTTTGTTTTTTTTTTAGAATCTATATAATTAAAAGCGAAATGAGTGTATGGGAATTTTTTTTTAAAATTCATCAAACTATGTAAAAAATCAAATTAGAATTGGTGAAGCACGGATTACGTCATTATATGCATAAAGGAGGGGTAGGTGGGTGTACATGGTACTGTTACGTCTCCGTTTGTTAATTGATTTCCCGTAAATTCGTTCCGACGAAACTTTAGCGACACAAGTCCTTACTTAATAAAACTGGTTTATTCGTTCCGAATATAACTTTACGATACACTTAATTTCAACAATCGCGCTAAAACAAACGCTATAACAACGAACGTGCTCAACTTCAATAATACTCGCTGACTGCAGATCAATTACTCACTGTCTACACACACATTATTCCGTCACGTTGTCACCCTCTTATATATATACCAGACTACCCTATATCTAGTAATCTCCCGACTATTCCCGAAGGTTCGAGAGGTGGCGTGACACTAGTCACGTGACCTCGCTGACGCAACAGTAAGTTATTTAGTATAAGATGTCAAACCTTCATATTTGAATCGTATATACTGTGTATTTGTATTAGTTAAAATTTTGACAAATTCATAGGTATGTTTAGATTTGTAAATTCCAAAAATAATTTTATAAAATAACGATATGTAGAAGAGCTTATAGAAGTCCAACTTTAATTAATTATAATAATATATTGCACATGAAGAAGCAACGAGGCTTTATTTCCAAGTTTCTTGTCAGGTTTATAATGCACATATCAGAAAATATATTACCTAATACAAATATATTTATTATTTTTGGAATTTACAAATCCAAACATGCCTATAAATTTGTTATTTATGTTTTTCTCTTCTTGTATATGTCAGCATTTTTTCTCTGATTGGGCTATAATAGTCAATTATTATAAGTAAGTCTCTGAATTCTTGATTATGCATATGGTTCGTTCTGGGGGTGGGGTTTTGGCACTTAAGAAATATATTATGTGGTATTCTTGGGTGCACTCATTTTCCTAAAGAACATTCGGGTAGGTTCTGCAGAATAACAGGAGATTCGACAAAAGATGTTTCGTGAGGGTAAATCTGAATTCACTTACTCGGTTGTGAACTGAAAAGAAAAAGAGTGGACACAGAGTAAAACAAGCTTTATTCAATATTTAAAAATAGTCAAAGTGAGTATGATAACGAAAAACGGCGCTTTACTGGAGGTTGAAAGTTTTAATTGAAGGAGTAGAAAATCTCTTGCAGACCGAGAAAACATCTTATTATATAGTTAAGATAATATTGCTATTCTTTTCTAGATGAATGCGCTACCTAAGTCACTGTTGGTCATTCCTACAGAAAAGATGAGATATCACCTGACCTGCCAGCTGAAAAGAATAGTGTCTGTCTACTTTCACATAATATATCCTAGTGTTATGACAGCGGAAGTCGCGCGACGCTGGGAGCATGTGCTGGAGTTCTAGAAAGATCGAAGAACCTGTCGAACGTCCTAGCGTTTGCTAGACTCGCGCTTTTATAGTATATAAGCCTGCAAATAAAGTGACGGCAATAACTGAACTGCAGACAGAGAGATATAGCGACAGATAATCGAGTCAAGCCGTAAGTAAAGTGCGTGAATCGTTGTGAATTATAGCGTATGTTTAATTTAAAGTGACTGTGGAAATTAAGTGTACTGCAAAGTTGAATTGAGAAAGAATAAATTTAATAAAAGACTTGTATCGCTGAAGTCCTTCGGAAAGAATTTCTACGGAAAATTAACAAACGACCAGAGACGTAACAAATTGGTGTCAGAGAGTGTGACGAAAAATAAAAATAAAAAAGAAGAAGAAGAAGATGGAAACGAGAGGTGGCCAATCAAACTACAGCTTAGCAGATTTGATGTCAGCAATACAAGAACAGCAAAAGAAACGAGAAGAACGAGAAAAGAAATAAGAAGAGAGATTACAGCAGTTGTTGGAGGAAAAAGAAAAGAAACAAGAAGAGAAATTACAGCAGTTGTTGGAGGAAAAAGAAAAGAAACAAGAATAGAGATTAGAGCAGTTGTTGGAGAAAAGAAACAAGAAGAGAAATTACAGCAGTGGCAAGAAACCCTGCAACAGTTGCAGCTCGAACAGCAAAATAAACAAGAAAGACTACAGCAGTGGCTGGAGGAGAAAGGAAATAAACAAGAAGGGAGATTACAGCAGTGGCAACTGGAACAAGAAAGGAAACTAGG